AGACTTTTGAGTACAGGGCTTAAATTATATCAATACATGCAAAAATATATCTTCACAAACTATGTTCAAAACATGAATAACAACTGCAAATAAATGAGTACATGATAAAATTTGAACTTAACAGTTAATGGAATAAAACTTTAACATTTCTCACCTTTATCAGAATTTGGTAAAAACTGGCCAGCTCATAATCTAATGGTGAAGATACAGACACTTCCCCCAGACTAGATATCAGAACTGTTGTGCTGTTAGGTGTGACACTGCCAGCAAAAGTAAACAAGATATTGAAACTTGGTTTAAAAATATAGATAATTGTTAGCTTTAATATTGATAAAATCCTTGATGCATTAAAACAATGCGAGAAGACCTTGTCATGAAATCAATTAAATGATTGATCTAAGACTATCACATTATAAAATTATTTACAATTATAACAAAATAGTTATTATATATTCAATGGAAGCAGATGCTTTTTTCTTGTTTTAAAGAAAAAGATGAATAACCTTCAAAATAACTGCAGAGCAAAACTAAAGGGCTGTCATACCTGACAAGAGAGTAATGTAGAGCAGTATTCTTGTCCATATCTGTACAGGACAATGATGCAATGTTTGTTGTGCTATTTTCCACTTTATCCACATTGATGATACTTGTGCACATAAGTGGGTTATCATTGTCATCATTGACATAGATAGTCACTGTGGTCGTGCTGGAGCGCTGGGGTACACCTTTGTCTTTAAAAAACAAAAGCATTTTGTAAGTTTCAAATTTCATTTGGCCAAAATATTGAGTCAATAGGGTGGAATTTTTGAAATGATAGATTTTTGTTAAAAAATGAACTTGAGTTACCTGTAACTACTATCTCAAATATGAAAAGTGTGTCATTTTTGTCAAAGTCGAGGCTTTCTCTGAGACGAACTTCACCAATGGTTCCATTTTGGGTGAGAGAAAACTTCTTTTGTACACTAGTGAAAGCAAAGGTGAACTGTCCGTCATTGCCAGTGTCATTATCACCAGCAGTTACCTGACAGATTTATGAAATGGTTGGTTTAAAATTCTTCTCCCTGAAGCTCATACCGAATACTAGATTGTTATAATCTATTTTTTTTAAATTGATAATGCAAGTTAAATTAAAGTGACATAAGTATAGTTAAAAATGTAAGCATTCATTATTGGTTGGTTAAAATTAATTTGAGTTAATGCATTTTTATTTTTAAAAGTTTTTTTAGTTTGATTATATTGTAATTATAGCATTAATTTTCATAATGTGATTATTATAGTTAATTAATATTATTGAACATATTCATTTATTGCAATTCAAATTAATCTTATATTTGAAATAGTTTACTAATTGAATTTTAATTTGACTATAACATTCAATGATACTTGCCATTGGTGTTTAATTTGTGAACTAGATAATTAAATATAAAAAAGATAACCAACTTTAAATGAAATGGATGCTCACCCTAAGAAAATAAGAGGTCATGGGATTTTACACATGTGAAAGATGGCTTAGTGAATATAACTTACTCTTAGAATGACATCACCAAAACCAAACTGTGTTTCATTAACAGTGGTGCTGTAGGTGACAGAAGTGAACATTGGCTGATGATTGTTCTCAGTTGTCACTATAATATTTACCAATGTTGTGGCATTTAGTGCTCCAGGTTGTCCTGCACTATCTGCAAGAATATATTATTAAATTATTAAAAATTATGTCAGAAAATTTATGAGTTATACTTCTAATATTATATTTTAAGTAAGTTTTTTTTACTAACATTATATTTCATTTAAAAAAAAAAATGTTGGAGTGTTAATTTTTTCTAAATTTTGTAAAGTTTAACATCTGTCGTATTATTTTATCTAGTTAGTCTGATCCATAAAAAACAGCATATGAAATGCATTTTTAAAAGTCAAAGAAAAAAATAAGTTGTATTGAAAATTATTCCTGTAAGAGATATTGTGAATTTAAAAAAAACAAAGACTGACTGCTAGAATGCTAAAATTCAGGATTTTTACAAATGTTTTCCAATAAGTCAACATATTACCACCTTAATGACCTTACCAGTTGCAGAAACAATAAGTGTGTACATTGTTATGCCCAAAGAATCAGCATCAAGAATCCTCAAGTTTTGAATGACTCCAGTAGTGGAATTAATAGAAAAGTTTGAGCTTCCACCAACTAAAATGAAAAAAATTACTTTGGCATTTTGTATTTGAGAAATTAAATGCTCACAATGCAAGTGCTCTTAACACTGTCAGCACCAATTGGGTAACTAAGTCCAGTTAGGTGGCTGAATACCTCTCAAATCACCTAGTTATTTGGTTGGTTTATCCAGAAAGCTAATGATTATCATTTTACTTATATAGTTCATAATAAAAAAAATCTCTCTTTAAAAAATATATGTATATATATATACCTGTATATAATAGCTAGACCAAATAAATGTTTCATTCAGAATTAGGGAATTTCACCTAGGTTATTTTGCTAATGACTTTATGATTATGACAGAAGACTAAATTAATCTTAATATCATATGTATCTTCACAACTTAAATTAAGATGCAAATTTGTAATGCTCATACTGAATATTATAACCTGTATTACCTATTGCATAAAATACTTTCCCATAGTTGTTAGTGTTTGGATCATCTTTGTCAGAGGCTGTCACAGTTAAAATACTTGTTCCTACTTGAGTGATCTCAGAAATATTTCCTCTGATGATCACATTTGAAAAAAAAAAAATGGTTATTTAATTTGTGTGCGTGCTTTATAACAAAATTGTTAGCAGTCTGCTGGAATCAGGAAATGCACAGATGAATTTGAAAGAGTTCCCTACATAGGGGTTATCAAATATTGTTTCTATCATTAAAGTGAGAGTTATGCCTCTAGTTCTTTCAATAAGTAAAATTAATTTTAAGCTTAAAGAAATTTATTAGTAAGTCCATATGACCTCTCAAACAAAAATGATGTGCACAATGATGTGTTCAATTTAATATTTAAATAATTGATTTCCAATGGCGTGGATTAATAGTTTGTTTGGGAAGAGCTGTTGAAAATGAGAACATTAATTTCAAAAAATGGTTCCAATATAGGCCTACTGATTATTGTTCAAAATTGTCTACGGTAAATTTTCATTAAATTAATCTCTCCCCCCCCCCTCAACAGACTTCATTAAAATGCTAAGTAATGTTTAATTGATTCTTTACATTTAACTAAATACTAACATCACAATAGTTAGGAAGATAACTCCCTGGTTGATGAGTGCTTAATGTCATTGTGTGATTAGTTTGTTACATTGAAGTTTTACATCACTAATGACTACATGAAACAAAATGTGTACCTGTATGATGAAGATGTGAAGACAGGGGCATTATCATTCACATCCAACACATTGATGATGACCGTTGTTGAGGTGAAGTTGGAGGCATCACTTGCTCTCACTGTCAGATTGTACATGGGGACAGTCTCCCTGTCCAAGCTTTCTAACACAGAAATCTAAAAGCAAACGACATTATAAAATCTTAAAGGAAAAAGAAATGTGTTTGTTAAGTCACTGGTGGGTTTAAAAAAAAAATTCAGATAACAGATCAAAAGTTATTTTCTAATCTTAATGGTTTTAGATATCAGAAAATTATGCATCAAAGCTACCACAATTCAACACAGTGGCATAGCTAAGGGCCAAGGGGGTGCGGACCATACAGGGTGACACCAAACTGAAAAATTGAATATTTAAAGAGCACACACTGCTCAGTCTAACCGAGATTCATAAAAGGATAAAGGATCACATGTACATTTTTCACAAATGTAACCAATCCAAATGCGTGCTTTATTAAAAGTTCAAAGTTGATTGATCAGAAATGAGTTCACCCTATAATTAGGTCAGAAAAACACAGTCCTTATTCAAAGCCGATTGATGATTGAAGTGATCCGTAACTTACGTAATGACAGGAAGCTATTATTATTTATCTAACTTCTAAGAAATGAGGCTTTCAACTGATACCATATACGATGTGGTTGGGCGATTCTAAGTACCAGAACGGAATCGGTAAAAATTAAAAATATTAATGCACTTTAAACCAATTATAGCAGGCCTGCACAACATACGGCCCGCGGCCTACATGCGGCCCGCCAGCACCCACTTTGCGGCCCGCGAAGTAACGAAATATATGATTTTCTTAATAGATTTTCCCTTGCCCCTGTCCTATTATTTTTTGGCCCGCACAAGTCCTGTCCTATGAGAATTCTCATAAAGTATTACGGCCCGCCTTACATTTTGAGTTGTGCAGGCCTGTTTTATAGAGTTAAAAAATATATTATTAAAAGATATATTATTTTGCACAATTTTTAATCTTTTAATTATTAATTCTTATTTATTAAAAAGTTTTTAAAAAGTTTTTTGTAGACATATTTAATATTATATATCGAAACCCAGAAATACTCAAAAATTTATATTTTCCCCGATTTGTCATTAGTACAGCCCCTTTACATTTGAGCTCGCTTTTATCAGATGCTTCTCTCTGGAATGTACCAGTTCCAGATCATTTTCGGTCGGAAATAATTAAAATATGGAGTACCTCGTTTCAGAACAAGGACGGAGCATTCAGCGTAGTGACAAGGCAAAATGCGAAATCTAAAAGAGGTGTACGCCAACTAAAAAAACAATGGATCTACGGGATGATGCATAGTGGCGAGAAATAACTGCGGTCGTGGATGGTTTAGTCACTCGTCAGTCAGAAATTGTATTGTTTTGCTGCAGATTTTTTGCTGTTAATGTTACAGAAACAACATCCACATTTTTTTCTGCTTTGATAAGTGGTGGAAACTGAGCCCAAAATTACAAACCCATGAAGCATCGAAGAGCATCTTTGTTGCCTTGAAAAGTTGAAGCATTGTCAGCAGAACTTAGGATACACAAAAGAAATGGATGCCGAAAGTATTGCTGTGATAGACAGTAAGAAAAAAAAGTGGAGGAATTGCCTGCAAACGGGGGGGGCGGGGGGGAGGGGGTGGCTGGCTGGATATCACATTTTTCTTGCAAAGCAAAATCGGGCATTTCGTGGCCACAAGATGAATCTTCACTGAATAAAGGAAACTTTGTTGAGATGGTTGAGATGCTATCTATAGATGACCCAGATAGCATCCATTGAGACTCAAGAGGAGTGCATCTATAATAAAAGCATCCACGTCTTACCTTTCACCAGAAACCCCAAAATTTCCTTGCAAATCATGTGAAGGAGATTCTTATCATAAATATAAAGGCTGTGAGGTATTTTAAGATTATGTTCAAATGTACACCTGATATATATCACACTGACAAATGTCTTAAGTGATCAGACATGTGAAAATCCACAATGGGAAATTTGAAGTGAGAGAAGTGTTTCTTGGATTTCTCCCGTAAAGAGAGAAAAAAGCTGAAGACCTCAGTTCTGACATCCTTACACATCTAAAATGTGATGGATTAGACATAAAATGTGCAGTGTTCAGGGTTACGATAATGCTGCCACAATCTCTGGAATCCATGGAGGTGTTCATGCCTTTATGAAAAGAAATATTAAGAAAGCGATTTTTAATGGATTTGTGGGCCATTCGCTTAACTTGTGTAGTCAACACTCTTTTGCAGAAAATGCTTCGTGTTATACAATTTTCGGTACTCTTGAAAGAATATTTTCCTTCTTTGCTGCATCCAATCATCGATGGAATGTTTTAATTGAACACATTGGAATGATGGTGAAAAGACTGTCAACAACGCGTTGGAGTGCTCATCATGCTGATGTTAAAACAGTGAATTAAGATAAGTATGATAAATCTGTGGCGGCCATTGAAGCTCTTGAAAACGTGGATACAACAGGTACAGCAAAAGGTCCTTTGCATGCTGTCTGATTTTACGTTTATCTGCTATCTTTACCTTTGGGCTGATCTACTTGAGGAAGTTAATCGTACACAGCAGTATCTGCAGACTACAGGTTTTACTCTTGGCAAAGTGGTGACAATCCTAGAGGCCTTAAAATTGTTTCTGCATGAGAAGCGCTG